GGGGGAGTGAAGTTGAGCCTGGGAAGAAGGGAGGGGTGGGGGGAAGGTGTTTTAAGATTTGTTTTTATTTCTTATTACCTTACTCTGACTTTTGATTGGCAATAAATTAAACTAATTTCCCTGAGTCAAGTCTGTTTTGCCCATGATGGTAATTGGTGAGTGATCTCTCCCTGTCCTTATCTCAACCCACGAGCCTTTCATCGTATTTTTCTCCCCCTGTCCAGTTGATGAGAGGGAGTGATAGAGCAGCTTGTTGGGCACCTGGCATCCAGCCAGGGTCAACCCACAACACAGGAACAGTGTTTACAAGCAATATTAACAAAAAGAAAAGGCCACCTAATGCTAAGCAGGATATAGCCAACTTGCCCGTGAGACCAATCTTTCCAAAAACAGGTTGTGTGGTTGAGAGAAGGCATAAAGGATGGCAAGGTGATGGAAACTCCTCTCAGGGAAATCTGTAACAACAGGTGACATCCAGCTACAGTTTAAAACTTTGTTGCAGAATATAGGTGAGTAATCAATCTAAGGTAATAGGCAGTTTGTATGTTTGCCATGTGGCATAAGAGAGTAATGTAGTTAAAGTAACTGCAATTATGTAAGCACACAGCCTTGGGAAATAGGAAGGGCAGAGCTGGTATTTTCCAGGTAAAGCTAAAGATACCATCTATGAAACATCCTGATTTAATTACCTTCTGAACTTCAAGAGCAGAATTAACAATAGTATACTAAGTGATTCTGAAACATTAAAGTTTCATAATTGTACTTGAATATGTAAGCCAGTATTACTGTCATTTCTTAAGCTATCATTTTGAAATCAGACCTGTGTGGGTCAATGCTTTCTGCAGGCTCTCCCCATCTTGCTGCGGGCTCTGTGGGATGGAGGGTCCACCCATTGTTACCTGCCTGCCAGGCCCAGGGGGTGATGCTCCAGAACCTTTGCTTTTGGCATCTGCCTTGAGTGGAAATTATCCCATTGAAGTTTGTACTGTATTGTCATATTCTCCTGTCTTTTGCTAAGAGGTCCCTGTAAAAGTAGCTTGTCCATCTTTCTAATAATTAGCATTGCTCTCTAATGCAGATTCTTAACATGTTTTAAGTTCCCACTGAGTTTTAGAATTTGTTTTCTGGAGTGACAAAGCTTATGTTAGATTGACATAAAACCAAGCAAAATGAAACAAGTTCTTTTGTTTGCTTGTTTTGTTTAGTAGCCATCAACATAAAATGTTTGTTGTAAAATTACTATTTAAAAGCAAATCTTAATATCTGTTTTAATATTTAAAAACTACGTAGGGGGAATAAATGAGCATCAAGAATGGCAAATATATTTCATGTGGGCTAAGCAAAGGAATGTGAGAAACTTCTTGTTTTCATTTAAAAATAAGGAATGTTTGAGGCATACCAGTAATTCCCATTACAAGAATCGCTAATAGTTTTGTGTGCTAACCGAACTCGAGCACTTCCAACAACTTATTACCTACTACTTGTCATCATGAGGCATTCTATGGATGCTTTAACTCAGCTGCAGTTAGTGGGCTCTTTCAGCTGTCTGCTGAGCCGCAGGGGACCAGAGGCCAGCAAATGACTTTGCTCTTTTGACACAGCCCTTTCCATCATTTGCCTCACTTACACCCCCTATTTTTATAATTATGAAATCACATTTGTTTAAAGGTGTCTTCAGAAATGATATTAGTACAGCTGGCTTGAACCTAGGTGCACAGTATTACTTCTATTGACATTTTTAAATAAAAAGGGGAAAAAAAAAGAAAAATAGTGCTCATTTCTTTCTAAGAGCTGAGTATCTTGCATATGTTTTTGAGGTGATTTCAGTGCTTGCTTCCTGAATGTGTGTGCTTCAGAGGACTGCCTCTATGTTCTTTAGAACTTTTCAAGCTGGGCAGACTGAACTTATATGACTGCGTTTTTTAAAATTTATGTAAATCACTTCCAATATGTCATTTAAAATAACCTAATTTTGAAAATTAGGCTGCTAGTGTGACTTCCCTAATTTTGAGAGAGTTTGCTACAATCTAGACACTGTATTTTAAAAAGAAATTTCCCTACTGCTAGTGCATTTTAGTTGCATTTTTTAATTTTTTTACAAGCAGAAAGTGGAACATTGGAAATAAAAGTGCCAATGTGCTGATTCTGTAAGTACCTTAGCAGGTATGTAGAATAAATGTATGTTTTCCTGACTGAACTGTGGCTATACAAATGCTTAATGTGCAGATGAGTTTACAGCATGAAGAACTAAAGCTGTGTAATTAACAAATGGCTTTCTCTGCTCCCAAGTCTTTGTCCCTTCAGGCCAAATATGTCCAATCTCACATTTAGAGGATAAGTTCTGTAGACTTACGATCTTCTATAATGTTTGGCAGTTTGGTCAAAGCGTTATCAGGTTACTTCTTAACAACATGGTTGTACTGTGAAAAAGCAATCTTTCAAAAATGGTTTGTTTTTTGCTGAAGCACAAGCTAGTTGTTTATCTTGTGTGTAGGTATGTAGGGTTTTTTTACTCTTCTATTTAAAAAAAAAAAAGGCGCCTCAGTCGTATTTTTTTGCCCCAGTATGTATGAATTTGTGTGTGAAGTAAGTGTAACAGGATAAGACAAAATACCTTCCATGCTGCCATTAACCCTACTTGTAGATAGTTAACAAACAAACAAACAAATTCTGAAAACCTAAAAGTAATGCAAACAATTGTTCATAGAAATGGACTTACAAAGGAAAGCTAGGTAGCTAATTATGTGAAGAAAATAAGTAGAATTGTAAAGCATATTGAAAGTAAAGTAGTAGTGTTGTATACAAAAGTTGATTTTGTGACATTGAGTTGGGAAATGCTGATGCTGGAGGATGGTATTTCTGGAAGATATGTAATTTAGAGGCTTGCAGAGGGAATATTTCTGAACAAGAAATTGATGGTGGTTTCAGATGTACAGACACATGGGACAGGAGTGCAAGCAAGAAAACAAGTGGGTAGCAAAATGAGAATTGGGAAGAGGTAGATCAGATAAACTCTAATGAAGGCAGGCTTGTCTGTGTTGCATCTTGTGATGAAGGGCAGGTGTGGTGTACTTTGAGGTGCCTAAAAACTCCTGTGAAATGGCAGTGAACAGGAGGTACTTGTAGAAGTGGAGATAAGGGTGAAATTATTTTGAAGGAACGTTAAGGTGAGAACATGAGAAGATGATAGTGGAGAGATCTGAGGAGTGAGCAGAGAGAGATGCGTTACCATCACAAAGGCAGAACTGGCTCTCCAAAGCTGCAGCTAGCTTAGCCTGGAAGAGGTGGAGAAGGGCAGCTAGAGGAAAGGAGCTGGTTATCAAGGTGTGCTGCAGCCTGGACTGACAAAGGTGAATACATTGTGAAGATTGCACAGGGGTATGCAGAGAAATCATATGGCAAAGTGAGACACTGAGTGGGAATAGGAGAGGCACCATTCAAATGTGTTGGGATTTTTAAAAAGTATTTTCTAGGGGGAATGAGGCAAGGGAAGGGCTGATGAGTACTTGATTTTTGGAGCAAAAATCAGTATTCATATAAGCATACTTCTTTATTTTACATATGTGGGTGGTGCTGCATGCAAACTGGATGTGTTGGATAATTCTTGTGAGTTAATGGTATTACTGGTGGTACTATGACACTTCATGATCCTGATGTGGAAACAGTTGATTCATCAGTGTGATTTGCATACTAATTATAACATAGCTAATTATTGTATTTAAAAGGAGTATGCAGACATATTGGCACCTTTCTTCCCTCCCACCTACCTTAGAAATACTTCTTAGTTAGAAAATTAAAGTTTTCAGTAGTAAATGTTGCAAAGCTGAACTTCTTCACATATCAATGAGTTGGACTTTAAATGGAGATGACAATAAAAATGAATTTAAGCAGCTGCTCTTTATTTATATTTTCCCTGTAACTGTTAACCACAGCATGGTTTCTTGAGATAACGCTTTATGGCATAGAAGGACCTTGGTTTGGTATGTAGAGGTTACAAAATCATATTGTTGTGCATAACAGCTCAGCTATAAATTAGCATCAAGCATAGTGTGATGTGGTCAGCTAACGCTCCCTGATCTATATTTCACATGTGGTGCTCTGTTAACCCTCTCCATATTTTTTTCCATTTTGTTTCCTGAAAATCTTTTCCAAAACACTTTATTGACCTTTGTTTTATTAATTACAAAAATCCATATTTCTGTTTTGTTTTGTTTTCCTGCAGGCAGCATCATAAAATCTTAATCAAGTGAAAATGGCCTTTAACAATCTGACATCAAAGGCTGTGCTACTGTATGATGAATGGATTAAAGATGCCGGTGAGTCATTTAAGTCTAAAACTTATTAACTTTCAATAATTTTGAATAGCAATGTGTACCTATTCTAGGTGTACTGTTTATCAACTTAAAGTAGCTTTGTCTTCCTGTAAATGTTTCTAAGACTTGTAAGGTTACTTATTGACATTTTTAACTTTAAGGAACAGACTAGTTTCTGCATTTTAAAAAAAGGAAGAAACAAAACTCAGCTAATTTATGGGTATAACCCCAGACTAAATAAAGTGCAGATGGTGATTCTTCTGTAAGAGTTTCTGGCTTGCCTGAATATATAGTTTACGTTTTTTCTATGCTACTGAATGTAAAGCTTTAACTTTTTTTCATTACTGAACAATGGTATTTTGTCAGTTAATTGAGCTAGGTGCATGGTGTTACTGTATTTTGCTGTTGCAAAGTAAAAGAAATAAAAACCTTGATGAGTTATAGTATCTTGAAATTAATCCTCAGAGTAATTCACTCTATCACAGTCCTTTTGAAAAGGAATGTTAGTCTCTTGTTGCAGCTGGTATGAGGATATTAAACATGCTTTGTTTTAACATTGTTGTTCTGTAGTTCTGCACGCTTACCAAAAAACGACAGAGAAGATCTCAAGTTTGGGGTTAAAACCCATCTATCTCAGTGGCATCCCTGAGTGTTCCTCACCATGGTAGGCACATAGTGACAGGGATTAGCTGATTCCTGGGGAAAACTTGAGAAGCAGTTAAGATTTGATCAATAAAATTACTAATTTATCTTTTCCAGTATAGCTGAATACAATTTCTCTTGTTCCATAGTACCACAGCATGCAAGTGAGAAGGGAGTTTTATCAGTATGACTTGTGTGGGTGAAGTAGATTGTGATGGAGCATTTCGTCTGCAGTGTCCATGACTTCAGAATTTGAATCCCTCGTCTCTCTGCCTACCAGTGCTTGTATTTGGCATCTTGTAGCATACTCTTAGTGGCTGGACATGGTTTCCTCAGGATCAAGCTGGGAAGACCAATGGGAAAGTTTTGGTAGTGTCAGTGCAAGGAGTGGATGCAGAAAAAGCAGTCAGTTGTGAAGAGCTGGTGATTCTCTTGCAATGCAACACATAGAGATTTCATTTTTTAGATAATGCCTAGTGCTGTAGTTCACAATCCTTGTTGGTCTGTGGGCAGCAGCACTGGGCACATTACAGGCTGTGTGCAGCATTATAATGTGCTTTCCTCCTCAATCTGTTTTAAAACTTCTAGTGGCTGTAAACATCAGAGGGTCTCATGGGTGATATGTTACTTGAATGCCATGGGTTGAAGATCACTGACTTAAGACAATTGGCCATGAATTAAACATTTAACAAAAATTGCAGTGGTATAATTTCACCCACAAAATACAGCAGCAAACCATAAAAGCAGCAGTTTACTGAGTCAGTAGTTAAATTTGGGGTAATTCAGAAACAAATCTTCTAAAAGTCAGTTTATAAAAATAAATAATTTTAAAAAATTATATTAAGTTTGTGTTATTTCTCCTGTTTATGGAGAACAAGTCTTTGGTAAGCTGGGACTCGGTGATGAACCACAGAAGGGTGCAGTGGAATCATGGTGAAGTTTAGAGGGAATGTCTGCCAGCCTCAGCTGTGGGGAGAAGGAGCAGGGCATGCGTAGGAGAAGGACTCTTCTCTGCAATAGTTCTATCTGGGATAACTGGAGAGAAACTTGCAACAGATTTACCAACTGGAGGTTTGTAATATGAAAGCATGTGTTTTATGGTGCTGTGAAAGTGGTGACGTGTCTGGACTGAATAGGCATAAGCCTCAAGAACTAAGCTATGAATACCAACTGATGGGACAGAATGTCTTCTAACTTTTAAATCCCCATACTTACTACGTCTAACACCGTACTGCTTCTGAAGCTTGAGGATCTTGAAAAGTGGGGCTACTCCCTGTCTGTGACTTGGACTTGTTTATGCTTTTCCAGAAGAATGAAGCCTCACTTGGAAATGCAGCCTCAGTGATCTGCTTGCACATTGCCTTCCTATGCTGCCCTCTAAGCCGTGTTCACGTATGAAAATGCAGACTTTTCATGAGGGGAGAGCTCTAGACCGAAAATTGGGTCGCTCACGATTCTGTGTCTCCTCTTCATTATGTGTGAAGAATTGATGCAGAAAGAAGCGTAGAATCCTACAGGTGCTAAATCTTGTTATTCAGTTGGTGCGGATTTGAGGTGAATGGACTCTGAAACTTGATCAGTGACAGCAAAACCTAAACCATTAAGAATTAATTACCTTTCTGTAACCTTTTTAGGATTTAGTAAGTATTGGAAAGATCTGATTTTTTTAAAATTTTTTTTCCTCCTCCCCTCCTCTAGATCCAAGACTGGAAGGCTGGCCACTCATGTCTTCACCTTTTCCAACAACCATTATCATTGGAACCTACATTTATTTTGTCACTTCCTTAGGACCCAAACTCATGGAAAATAAAAAACCTTTTGAACTTAGGCAGATAATGGCGCTTTATAATTTTAGTGTGGTAACCCTCTCTTTATATATGACTTATGAAGTAAGTTCTACTTTTATTTGTAACGTATTTATATATTTTGTGTCTGTAACTATCTTCATACCAACTTTTAATAAATTTATTAATATAATTCCCACTCTGCAATTCTCAAAAAAAATATTATTCTGATTGTCACAATTATATTCCTCCAAGCTGTATGCTAAACTAATTGAGCTGATACTTGAAAAAAGGGGAATAAGTCATACCTAGAAAGATTATAAAATATTTTATGTGCCATTATATATAATTTAAAAAATCAAAAATCCTCATAACTTATTTAATTTCCCTGGGTTGTAGCAGGTAAAGTAGACTACGTATTTTTCTTTGTTGTAATTATTTCTGTCCTACTACATGATACTCAACACTGATGTTTCAAACACTGTATATAGAGTACATTTACTATAGAATAATCTTCAGTTAGATCTGCCTTTTAAATTACAGAAGTTAACAATATCCGATTTGGGGATCTTCATCCTAAAAAAGCCTGATGAGTTGTATAGGGTTATGGGTTGAATGACCTAAAAATCCTTAACCATGAATGATATAGACTATGTAGAAACTTTAATTTAGAACCTTAAACCTTAAGATAGCTAATATCTGAAACCTTAAGATAGCTAATATCTGTTGTTTTGGGGTTGTTTGTTGTTGTTGGTGATGTTTTGTGTTTGGGTTTGTTGTTTTTGTTTTGGTTTTTTTTTTTTTAAAGTGTAGCTATTTAACAGTAGTATTGTGTGAATGATAGCCTTATACATTTGCTTGGTGAAGCATCACTATGCTAGTAGTACTGACCCTCTTTGTGTTAAATCTGGCTATGTGGCTATTTCAGGTTTGGCAAATTGGTAATGAAAAGTTAAAAAATTGGCAGGATACCTTTTTGTTACCTCAATTTGCATAAATTTCATCATGAGTTATGGGGAACTGCTTGACATTTCTTTTAACAGCACTCTAAAGACAGTGCAGCAGCAGCTACTTTGTGTCATGACTGTTGTGTAGAAAGCTGTAAGTGGTGGGCAAGATGCATACGTTTGCTATTTAGACTTTGTTTTGAAAAATCACCAAACTTCCTCATGTGATTTGGTGATAAGTTTCATTTTGGTTATAACCCTCAGAAACTAAAAAAAAAATTATGCTTCTTTTAGTGTCTGACACTAACACAGTATTCAATTAATCTGCTATAAAGACTTCTATTTTACAATTTCATGAAAGAATGCATAGCTAGAGCTTAACAGATTGAATCTCTGCTATTGTCTGGTTCTCAGCAAAAAGCTGATTCTTTCCCTCTTTGGATCTAAGCCATTTTGTGGGTGCTTTAGTATTGTGCTATCTTGATGGTGTTTCAAATCTTGTTTCTTTTAAGCAATTGATTCTTTTAGGAAGTTAAACATCTATTGCAGTCACAGACTAAAACCCTCCATCTGTTAAGAGAGCTGAACCTCCTATTGTGCATGAGTGGATGATGATGATCAATCAATGAGAAGTACTTTTTGAACAGATGTAAGATACAGTAGTCCTAGAGGCTGGCCGGCAAATGAGCCAAGTGTAATATTAACAATGTTGCTCTTGTCCAAGTTCTAATATATTCCAAGAGAAAAGATTAAATTATACTTGTTACATATAGTCCTTTGGTCCTGTACATGTGCTCTTGATTATAAAACTTTAGCTTCTCATCCCTGATATCAGTGAAAGACTAATTGAATCATGCAGTTCAACTAAGCAAAATTTTAGAAACTATGATACTAAAAATATAGTGCATATTGATTTGTTCCTTGTCTTTAATGATATTAACCAGCACAACAGAAAAATATGGCTTTTCTTTCAGTATTAAGATGTTGTGCTGGTTTCTTTTCAGTATTAAGATGTTTGGCTGTGATAGCAATTTTCAAAAAATTTCAAAATGGTTGATTTGTTTTTGTGGTCTGATTTATACAATAAGTTGCTTTTCTAACATGGTTTTGAGATGCAGCTGTTTCTCCTCTTTAGTTCCTAATGCTGAGATAATGGGTGCAGGAAGAAAGTTCTTGTCCATAGGTGTGGTCCTGGAATTAGAAATTTATTAATGTGCAACAGCAAAGGATTTTATGGTAGCTAGCCCGCACAGAGGTAGATGACTGACAAGGTTGCTGATTCAACAAGTTTTTAATACTGTTTTCCCCTCATGCTTAGTGATTGTGAAAGTAATCTGAAATTAATGATTTTTTTCAAAAGACATAAAGTAAATCTTTGCCCTTTCCCTTTTCTTTTCTCCAGTTTCTTATGTCGGGTTGGGCCACAGGGTACTCATTCCGGTGTGATGTCATTGACTACTCGAGGTCACCTACAGCTCTAAGAGTAAGTTGCCAAATGCCGAATTGTTATGCTACACTGACTTTATTTTTGGAAATGCTTTTTGAACAACCAAACGCACTGCTGTAGAGTGGAATGCAGTAAATGGAAATGCCCTCTTGCATAATGTAGAGCATGAGAGTTAAATGGAGGGGGTTGATTGGGAAAAAGAAAGAGGCAACGTATTTGTTGGCTTGTTCATCTTGGTTTTAACATTCCTTCTGGATTAAAGAATGTTTTGTGTTTTTTAAAGAAAAACTAAACAAACTATACATTTAAATATTTATGTCAACCTTGTGACACCATTTACTCATCCTGATACTTTACTTTTATATAGTTACTTATTTTTCCTGCAGCTGTTTAGTTTTATTTATGTCTATTATGATTTGATAATTTCTGGTTTTTACTCTTGCAGATGGTACGAACTTGTTGGCTTTACTACTTTTCCAAGTTCATTGAATTATTAGACACTGTAAGTATTTGTAGCCTAATAAAAGAAGTAGTGATATTTCCTTTTCACAGTAGAAGAACTGGTGCTGTTGGGGGCTGAGGGCATAAATTGCTTTGTATTTAGCCCTCCAGTCTTCGATTATTGGTGTTTACCCTTATTATCTCTTCTCATCTTATTGTCTCATTACACTGTCATTTCTTGATTATCAGGAAAAATGTTAATGAGAGAACACACGTTTAAAAATTTAGGAAGCCCTGATAACTTGTCTGTTTAACAGCTGAATGAACTAACCTGTTGTGCTATGGCAATGCTTGTCTCAACACTGCAGATAAAAAAATGGTGTTGATCATGTTGAATTTTTTTCCATGTTATCTTCAGATTTTATCTTCCACATTTGGAATATTTGCATCAGCAGCTCTGAATACAGCATAAATTGCCCTACTTACTTGCTCTAAATTCCTGTGTATGCCTTGGTGGTTATGACTATAGATGTGTTTGATATCAGGCCGGCACTCTAAGGTGTTTCAAAGAAAGTCTGAGCAGCAATGCATTAAAGCAGAATGCAGACCTCACTCACCACGAGCAGCTATCTGCCTTCCCCTCTTCCCAAGACTTACACCTAGTATGGTTGGTTTAGCTATTCTCAAACCAGCTTCTGAGTGTTGGAATCAGCTGTGATTTTGTTTGCCTTATTGTGTGTGGGGCACAATAGTGGTGATTCAGGAGCTGACTCATGAGCAATTAGGATGTTCTACACCCTGCAAGCAAAGTTAGCCATCTAACTTTCATCTGCAAATATTGTGATTCAACACTGGAAGATCTTACTAACTGGGCCAAATGGAATGGTAAGGGAAGGGCCAGGAATGCTAAAACTGGAAAAGCCTGATCAGTTTAGTCCTCTATTTACCTTTACTACCCACTCGTTAGATTGCTGCTTTTTAATTAGTCCTGGGCCTGAAAAAATTGGTTGGGTTTGTTTGTTTGTTTGAGTTTTTGTTTGTTTTTTAAATTTGTTTTGTTTTAATCCATCCAATTAGGTATCTGTTTCTCAGAAGCTTTTTGGTTTTATTGCAAAAGTAATTTCTTAGCTGTATTTAAGAGTCATCTGTTTCCAAATGTTTTTCCTGGCACACCAGATTTTTTTTCTTCTGTGTTCCTTTCCTTGCCATCTGATGCTACCCTTCATGTGACCTGACTTCTCTTTACACAGTTTTCTTGCTCTATCTTCCCTTAACACTTCCCTCGATGTCCGTCCTTTAAAATGTGGCCTGTCAATATCCATTAAGAATACCTACATTTATTCTGTCCAATTTTGCCTTTTTCCAAGGGTAGCTAAGTCAGTGTTCATAATTAATAGTGCTATTTCTCTAACTTAATATTTTCTCCTGTCTGTATCTGTTGCTAGTCCTTTGGTTAATTTTCTCAAATGGCTTTGCCTTAGTAGTTCAGGGGACTTAAAATCTGATGCTTCTAGATACTTCTTAATCCTGCTTTTGAGACTCCGCAGGTGGATTTTACATACTGGTTTAATTTTTTTGAAAACTAGTCTGCCTATCTAGAGCCTCAGTTTCCCTGCTTCTCCCAAGACTGCAACTGTGAAGAATTTTCAAATGTATAGTAGTGAGCAACCAGCACTGATGCATACAGTTTTCTGTAAGTATGTTGGGCTTGATTATCTCCTGTAACATTCTGTTCATTAAAAAACTGTTTCAGATATTTTTTGTGCTGCGTAAGAAAAACAACCAAGTTACATTCCTGCATGTCTTTCATCATTCCATCATGCCATGGACCTGGTGGTTTGGAGTCAAATTTGCTGCAGGTAGTGGAGAGACAGTTTAAGTTGTACATATCTGCTGGTAGTAGAAGTTAACTATGATAGACAAAAATATTTAAAGAACAGAATTAAAAATCTTGCGAACATCAATGTTTTTAAATTTAGATCTCTGCAGTATTTCATGGAACATCTGAGATCACCATACATAACAATTATTTAAGTGGGTGGGAAGTACTAATTTTTCCTATTTGACAGCATGTTGTGCGATGTGGTTTTTTGTAAGGGGAAGAAGGTGCAGGGGAGAGAGGTGTATGTAAGTAAAGAGCATTATTACACGAAAGAAAGATATGACTGCAAAATCAGAAGTACTAGGGGAGAAGTATGAGGCAGATACTCTGTTGAAACTGCTTCAAAGGCATTTGTCCCCCTGAAACATAAGAATGGAATTGGAGGGGAGGACTGTGTTCTCGTTGTTCTTACCATCCTTTGTTTTGCCTGTTTAAGAAATTATTCAGGCTTTGTTGCAGTTATTTTTACTGGCCTTAGGTAGCATAATTGGGGCTTATTTACATCTAATACTTTGGCTTTCTCAAAACTACAGAGATATTTTCTGGACCTTATTTATTACAGAAACTTATTTGAATTGTAATGAATTGAAAGTCTCTGTCCACTTCTAGCTTACCTTCACTTTCTCCTTTCCTGCTCTGTGTGTCTATGCATGCATCTTTCTATGCTATAGTATTTATTAGTGTGCAACACTAATAAATATAGCTTGCCATAAGAATAGCCTGGTAAGCATGGAGTGGAGAAATGCACAGTCATTTCTAGAACTGTAGTACATCTCTAGGAGGGTGTGGGGTTTTTTAGGAGTTTCTATCAAGAAAGAGGGGAGTTTGTACATGTTCTTTCACTCATGTCCTCTGGCATGTTATTTTTTTTTTCTCCCAGAAAATCAGTGACAAACTGATGAAGAGAACTATTGCCTGTTAAATTAGATCTGTTAGTGCCTGTTTTATGAATACAAAAATAAGCCCTGAAAGCAGTCCAGAAGATTTGTAGATGGGGTCTTTTGAACATGTTCTGTGTATAGATTTTCCTAGTGTATAAAAGGATATACTTCTGCTGCATTTGTTGAGTTTCTGTTATTAGGAAGCTGGTGTCTTGATCATGTCTTTCTCAAATGTTGATGAGTAACTGGTATTTTAAGTTAATGATGAACTTGTGAATAGTTTCTCAGCATACAGTTCAGTATGTTTATAGATTTGCAAAGAATCCCAGCAACTAACAGTCCCTCCTCTTCAACCTTGAAAAGTTTCCATTTATAGGTGATTAACTGTCTGCCTTTTATCTGGACATTGGCTCAGTATACCAGATACAGGCTTCTGATTTTGCATCAGATTCAAATTTCCCATGTGATAATCTGACAAATACTTTCAGCAAAGTGTGCAAGATCTGTTTTGTCCTCTGCTCGTAATAGTTCCTCATACTCGTGAAGAGATGTGTTTATTCCTACAACTCTATTGATTATCTTTATACTAATCTTTCCAAATACTGATCTGTTTGATAACTTAAATTTTTTTCCAAGAATTTCAGTCCTGCCAACGATTATCTTGTATTCAGTTTCATCACTGTTTATCCTTCCTTCTAAATAGTGGCATTGATCAAGTTTTCAACCTGTTTTTAAAAAACAACATGTTTGTGAAAGGAGATGCTGATTTTTTTTTTTCTCTGATCTGATGTAAACAGGGAATTGTAAGATGGTGCTTATGTATGGTGTTGCTTTTTGGAGCATATTTTTGTACTGTTGCTTAGGTTGTTTTTTCTTTTTTTTTCTTTCCTCTGCTTTAACTATTTTTTTCTTTTGAATGTTCACTGTGCAAGCCAAAAGAAAATATGTATGTTTGAACTGTAAGAACACTCGAATTATTTTCAAAAATACAAATAGCTAAGTTTCAAAGAAAGTTTGCAATCACAGCTGGAGGAGTTATGATCTATCAAGCTGGAAGACTAGTGCGAGCTATTAAAATCACAAAATAAGTTTTATTTTCAACTTGAATGATTCTTAATGGAAAATTGACTTTTGGATACAAAAATATTCTCATTAAGTGTCTGCTTTTCATGACATTTTGTTTTCTTCCTGATGCTCAATATTTTCATGTTCATATTTCTTTTAAAAATACTTTGCTGTATGCCACTTCTTGGATCATTTTTTACCTATAATTTCTTGTTTTAATGTCCTGGTTTCAGCTGGGATAGAGATAAAGAAGTCATTATCCCACTCTACTCGGCGCTTGTCAGGCCACACCTGGAATACTGTGTGTAATACTGTGTTCTGGTCCCCACTATACAAAAAAGATGTAGACAGGCTGGAGGGGGTCCAGAGAAGGGCCACCAAGATGATCAAGGGTCTGGGAAGCCTGCCATATGAGGATAGGC